AAAAAATCGAACAAAAAAGGTACAGGTAGCATACACTTGGAGTATGAAAGCAAAATGTTGTTCACACTCATTTCCGACATCTTGAATTTTTCAGCGCCCTCCATTGATTTTCGCGAATAATTTACTTTTTAGGAGTGGTTGGAATCAAACAAATTTACTAGCAGAGATATTAACAATCAATCGGAGATAAACGCTGACGATGTTGACGCTGTTATGAAGATAGACCGCATAGAAAATACTGATATTGATCGAGGAGAATCTAATTTGAATAAAATTAATAACATTCCAATAATAATAATACAAAGAAATGATTACTCTAAGTGTATAGGCCATAATATATGTACGGAAACTGAACGCAATGAATCTAATGTTAATGATATTAACAATGCTAATAACATAACTCTGAAAAATAGTGATGCAAAACAAACACAGCGTAGTAAAGATACTAATATTGATTGTAACGAATCTAATTTGAATGGGCTTAACAATTTTGACACAATAATGGAAAAAAATAATGATCACATGCAAACAAACTGCACTAAAACTAGTGATATTGAGAACCACGAATTTAATGAAATTAATGAGAAACAAATTAGTCATACTGAAAGGAGGAACACTAACAAAGTATATGATTTTGACGATACTAGTTCTCATATTTCAGAACCAACGGTTTATCAGTACTCGGGTAGCTCATACGTGCCGACAACTGAAGAAAGCGAAGAATCCGTTTCTGGCGGGATGCTGTCCCACCCAGTCTGGTGGTCGTCACGTCGGGGTCGTGGTCGGGCTCGAGGAGGAGATGGGGGTGCTGGCAGGATGGCGTCCCAGCCAGCCTGGTCGTCTCGACGGCGTGATGGGCCGGTAACAGCTTCCGATGTCGCCAACGCCTGCTTCTTCCGCAACCGTGGACGTGGTACATTTCCATCTCCACGGCGATGAACCAGTAGATCTGCCTGTACTGATGTGTCCGGCTTCACCGCTGTGTCGACGTTTGCATCAACGTCCACTTCGGTTACTACGGCAGGACGGGCGGCGATATCTTCAACTGCGACTGGCTCCACCTCACCAGACGACGCATCGGTGGATGTGGAGTCGTGGGACAACTGCCTCCTCATAGGCTTTCTCCCTCGTTTGGCCTTCTGTTTTTTTTGATACACCTTTGGCTTAATCTCATGCCAGAATGGGGGGAAAAGCCTTAACGCTCGACCCAACATGTCGTGCGCCTCTTCTTCTGTCCCATCAGGGTCTACAAATTCGGCGACTTGCACTTTTTGTATAAGAGTACGTAAAATGGCGAGCGTCTCAGGCAAGGGGTTCTCAATTTGAAATATTGCCGACATAATTTGTTGCAATTTGGCGTCTATCTCGCTCGGTTGCTTTTGTTTCTCACACCCTTCAGGACATCGCTGTTTAAAAAGAAATCAAGGGCAGCGACCGGGGACATGGCAACCACCAATTTGTTCTGTATGTCGTCAAAATTAAGCGTAATAAAATTGGTGAAATCTTCCCTGATTGCCTTCGAAACTGGCCCACTGTAAAAAACTTTGCAGACGTCTTCGATCTTGACGTCCTCCCTTCTATTGTAATTTATTAAAGCGGCCTTTAGCTCGTGTAGCCTGATGGGACGGAAGAAAAGGCTCTAAAATTGTACTTATTTTAAAACAGTTTAACTTACATGTACAGGAGTGGCCATGGTGATGTAATAAGGTGGTGGTTGAGGAAAAAAAATGTTCTGTAAAATGTAAAAAAAAACTTGTGTAATAAAATGTAAAAAAAAGTAGTTCTGTAAAAATGTAAAATAAAAATGTGTTCCAAAATGTCAAAAGAAAATGTATAAAAAAATGTAAAATAAAAAGAAATTATAAAAAAGGTTGGTTGTAAGGTTTTGGTAGGAATGTTGAGAAATTTGAAGTGCTTTAATGAAAGTTTCAAAAAGACTGGTGCCGTTTGAAGGTGAAATATTAGCATTATCTGTTTTGTTATCTGTAATGTTACAAATATAATAAAAATTCTACTTAATCGATCTAGCCTTTATCGTTTTAAGTCCATAAGTTTTCGCATTTCGGTCATCTCGGATTCGAACGAAATATTGTTCTTAGACTAAATCGGGTGCGAGGAATTCAAATCCGGCGTCCATTTGGACCTGGGAGGTCGTTTTGGCACTCAAAAAAAATTAAAAAGTCAACAAATCGGATATGACCCCCTAAGATTGAACGCCGAGAGATTATTTATCGGACTAGGGGGTTGGTTGATGGCTCGTTGGAAAGAGGAAGGTTCAAGGAATCTACTGCCACTTCCCGTTTCCGGTTCCGGTACAGCATCTGACCAAAGTCCGGTTAGGTTTTCTCGGGAACCACCCGACCGATCCGCTAACAGGTAAATTTTTAGACAACTTAACGGCTGAATTAGAAGCTGAAGGTTCTGAGAGTTAGATTGAAGAAGAATTCGTGTCAGGATTATACCTGCGGCGGATTTCCCTATACGCCAACTACGCCCTGGCGTTTGGCGGCGTACGGAGGGTGGCGGTACCGAGTACACTTGACGCGACAACACCTGTATGCCGGGTGCCGGCTATGGACTACTTCAGCTACTTGAGATGTACCGAGAATTTTTAGTGGTTCGAGAGTCGAGAGACTCGATTTCATTTCAACACGTTTATTATCTTTTCGTGTTTTCGTTCGTCTTTATTTTTTGTTTTTGACTATTTTTTCACTAAAACTACTTATACAAATACAAGTACCTATAAATAAAATGAGTGACGGAAGACCGAGACAATGGTGCGCATTATAAACGCAAATGAGAGGAAAAACATGCCAGAGAAGAAGCTATTATAAAGAAAACGCCAAAACTTGATGAAAGATACTTAAAAAGTAAGTAATTTTGAGTTGAGATATGGTAGTGGTACCTATATGAGAATAAATTGGGGATTTAATTTACGATTCAGGGTGATTAGACATAGGTACAATTTTCAGCAGGTCTATATTCAGCTTCAGCATTCACCAAAAGTTCCATGCATAGTCCCCTGTCACAGAGAGGGACCATATCCATATTACAATCACCCTAAGTTTATGGGTACGGTATTGATTTGATTGATTGATTAAAAATTAAAAAGTGCCACTTACTTAGAATACTTAGGTTATACTTACATATAGATATTACATATACAGTTTCGTTTTTTATTACATTAAAATAGTATATTAAGATACAAGTGTATAATCAAGTCTTTAAAGCACGCGCAACGAGTTTAAGGGCACGACGCAAAGCGGAGTGCCTTTAACGTTGCAAGTGCTTTAAAGGCCAATTATACACGTGTATCTTATAGTATTTTTTATTATACCTGCAGTATAATTTAAAAATAGGAAATACAATGAAATCATATTGACGTTATACTCGAATACATGTCTAATTAAGTGGGCTGGGTTTTCGTAATTTCACGATTGCCATGGAAATGTCACTTGACGTTTGCTTATAAAAATCATCGTCTTTGGAATAAAACGATTTGCGTTGAAAAACATAGTACACCGCCCATTAAATCGCTTGTTGTAAAATCTAAACAAACGTTGGTAGGTGTAAAATCCAACTCCAGTAAAGCTTATTAAGTATAAAGAATATGAAAAGTTGTTTCCATGGATGAATAGGAAGTTACTTACGAATAAAGTCTTAAATGCATCGGTAATGCTGGCATATATGGAGGAAATGTCAAAGGTGTTTAAATCTTCTATCTTTTGGTGCATTCATTCAAAACTTCACTTATTGCTGCGACTAAAAAGTGGAACAGGTTTGGAAGCATATCCCAAATTGAGCGCGTTTGTGGAAGCTTCAACCAAAGGATAGGTACAAGCCAAAGCAATGTTCTGCATTTACAGAAAGCGACCTAAGTGTGGTGTCACACTATGCGTTTTTACCGCTCCCGCTAAAACGGATGCGGTTTGACAGGATGAGATCTACTTGTCACACTATTCCGGTCTAACGGGATGCGTTTTTGCTATCTATATTTTGGCAGTCTGTATAGTGTCATGTCTCAATTGTTAGAGATGGTTTGTGCGCTTGAGGCGGAGGGGTTATTGCGAAAGCAGATATATCGTCAATATTGGATTGATCCTTTTAATTCAGGGCGAGAATCTAATAATAGGTTTGCGAAGTTTTATGAAAAAATTCGAATGAACAAGAAAAAAATTTTTGTATATTACCGAATGTCCAAAAATTCATTGATTGATTGATTTATTGTGCTGAGAGACCGTACAGTCTTTACACTTGTCAGGGTTTGGATATAAATTTAACATAAATAATATAAGACACTATACACCTACATATAAGAGACAAACAAGACACAATTGCAGAATTAAAATGACACGATTATAGAAAAAAGAAAATGTAAAATTAAGAGATCAGGTGACTAGACTCAACGAATTCTTCAAGCGAATAAAACACATGTGTCACTAAAAATGATTTTAACCTGTGTCTGAAGTTGTTATACGGCAATTGTCTGACATTTTGGGGCACAGTATTGAACAAGCACTTTGATTTATAAAGTACACCGTTTTGAGTTACAGCAAGGCGAGAAAATGGACGTCTAACGAGATCTTTTCGTCTAGTGTGGTGTTGGTGGACGTTAAATTGTCTTATAAGTTCTCCTTCGTTCTTCTTTGCATAACATAAAGCTTCAAGTATGTAAACACTAGGAAGGGTTAGTATTTTATGTTCTTTAAAAACATTGCGACAATCTTCTCGGTACCTCAGACTTCCCACGATTCTTACCGATTTACGCTGTAGTTTAAAAATGCGCTTCGATGAGGGAGAACTTCCCCATGCCAGTATAGCATACGATAATAGACTGTGGATTAGGGCGAAGTAGGCGTTTTTAACCACTTTTGTTGACGAAATAACATTTAGACGTCTAAGTAAGAAAATGGACTTATTAATTCGCGCACAAAGACTATCACAGTGCAGATTAAAGTTTAAGCGACGATCAACCAGACACCCCAGGAAGTTAACACACGGCATGTTGCTAGATGTGACACTTTGGTGGACACATTCGACGAACTACTTGGGGTATTGCGACCACACATCACCAAAAAGAATACAAACTTTAGGAACGCTATAAGTCCAGAAGAAAGATTAACGGTAACACTTAGGTAAGTACATCAATTATATATTTATTTTAATAAGTACATACACATTGTCATATTACAACTCGTACATTGATCTGTGAGACATACATGACTCACTTGACTGTTGAGAGTTCTGTGGGGATATGAGAGGAGTATGAACAAATGATGGACGTGGTTGAGTATGAGTTGATTGATTAAAAGTTTGGGCAACTTAAGGCGGTAGATGATATTGTGAATGGTCAAGAAAATGTTTTGAGAACTGATAAGTAGCATTCATTGAAGCAAGCGGAGTTGAATTATTTTTCATTTGTTGAAGGTCTCGAAAAAACTGTAGAGTCATAAATTTAAAATCTAATTTCTCTTCAGCGTTCAACTGTTTGTAATCAGGAAGAAGAGACATTAAAAATGACTTGTCTGCATCATCTTCTATGTGTTTGCTGCAGCTATTATCTAATCTCTTTAGTAGCTGATTTTGAAAAGGCGTAAGGTTGTGTACTCTACGTTGTCGTTCCCTAATTGAAGTAGCTTTTGGACGTCGGATTTCGTTAGCAACACCTGCTGCATCTTCCACCTCATCCGGTTCTTGGCTGTCCTCCGTATTTACACCTTCTTCATCTTCCTCATTCTCTTCAGCTCCAAGGTTTTTAGGGATATTTCCGGACGTGTTTCGTTTCTTCATTGTGATTTGCAGAAACGTGAGAGAGTCCGCATATATGTATTTTTTTTTCTTATTGGGAGCAGCATCACCACTCTTGCCTTGGTTCATAAACTTATAGTAATTATCTCTAACATGTCGCCATTTATTCTTCATTTCCTTTACTGTAACAACGGAAGACAATAAATTTGTAAATTATATACATATACGAGTATTAATATTGTACTAAGGTTCATGCGTCCGAGTTCTACTACACAGTATTTAATTTTTGAGATTTTCACTTAAATAATTTTAAATATTATTAAAATTCTTGTTTGCAGGTATTTGTCTACTGGAATGACCTTCTCAAGCCTTGGGTACGAATTCCAAATTGCAAGATCTACAATTGGAACAATAATCCGAGAAACCTGTGAAGCGATTTGGAGTACTTTGAAAGAGCAAGAAATGCCGGAACCCACTGAAGAGGTGTGGTTGGGCATCGCAGATCAATTTTATTTAAAAACAAACTTTCCTAACTGTGTAGGCACGATAGATGGAAAGCATATAAGATGCATGAATCCCCGAAGAGGAGGATCAAATTTCTTCAATTATAAGAAGTTCTTTTCTATTGTGCTAATGGCAGTTGTAGATGCAAATCTCCGTTTTGTCGCAATTGATGTTGGTGCATACGGAAAAGAAGGAGACTCGACTGTATTTCGGGACAGTCCATTAGGCAAGAAACTGTACTCTGGCAGTTTGAATCTGCCACCGCCTCGTTGTTTACCGAACACCCAGCCCGAGGAAATTCCCCAACCCTTCGTAATGGTTGGGGATGAGGCATTCAAACTTCATACGAACCTCTTGAAACCGTATCCATCCCGCAACATGAATGCTACAAAAAGAGTGTTCAATTACAGACTATCAAGGTGCAGACGCAATGTGGAGTGCGCCTTTGGAGTTCTGGCAAACAAGTGGAGGATTTTTCATACTCCCATTCTTGTGCAACCTAGTTTCGTGGATAAAATAGTGCAAGCTAGTAGTATAGTAAGGCCGATCCTGGACCACTTTACATTGAAAAGTGCCATATGATTGAAGTGTTAGCGTTTCAAGGTCAAAGTGGTGTTGAAGGTCAAAGTGGTATTGCGTAAGTGGGGGTGGGTGGGTTTCAAGGTCGAGTGTTGAGAAGAAAGGGGTGTATTGTTTGTGTTTTTCGGAGGGGGGGTGATGGGTGAAGGCCATTGGATTTCAAGGTCGAGTGTTGAGAAGAAAGGGGGTGTATTGTTTGTGTTTTTCGGAGGGGGGGTGATGGGTGAAGGCCATTGGATTTCAAGGTCGAGTTGTGAGAACAAAGGGGTGTATTGTTTGTGTGGAGGGGGGGTGGCGGCGGCTCAAGGCCGTTGGGTGTAATATAAGGTGTTAATTGGAAGACATTTGTCCATAATAACAAGAATCGACGAGATGTCAAGAGTCATTGTTCATAATCATCATCAGCAGCAGCAGCGGCAGCAACGGAAAAAAAGAATTGACGAGCTGGTAATGAAAATTAGAAAATTAAAGTGGGATGTGGAAATTTTGGGTTGTCGGCGCCGTATGGAAAAATTGATGTTGTGAGGTCTACTGGCGATTTGTGTGCATGAGATAAGGCCCAATGATGATGATGATGATGATGTACCTAAATAAAATGATTATTTCCTTGTGTATATGTAAAGTTGTGTGTATTAAAAAAAAAAAATGTACAAAGGGGTGTTTATTCATTTTCCCATCGGCAATGTCCCTGTTAGAACCACACCCGCGTGGTATAAGTAGGTGTTATTTTGACATATTGATGGTTAATCGCGCTTGAATGAAGTTTTTGATCAAAATGATTGACCGTCTAGGGCCCCCTTTAGATCGTGTACATAAAAAAAACTTTGCAATTTCGCGCGCGCATTAAAAATAGAACAGTATCAGTTTGTACTTCGTGGCCTTGCACTCGTTTCTCATTTATGGTGTTGTTGCTTACGGAAATAATTATGATTTTTGCGGAAATTAAAATTCGGGAATATCATAACTCAGGTACGTAACTTAGTAACAATACTTATTGCAGGGAGAAATCATGAAATGAGATTTATAATTTCCATTGTAGGTTGCTGCAACAACGCCCTGTTTCACTTTTGCTTGACCTCGACAATGAATTCCTCGTATTGGATTAAAATTATAGCCGTGGAAAGTTTGCGGCGGGATAAACTATATTAATAACAATAACAATTGCATCAATTCCGTATATTTGAAATAGGTACATACAATAATTACATTATTATTTCGTTATAGTTACATTGACATTTGTTTTAAAAATGTAATATAATTAATTATTAATTGCATTTCTTTTTGGAGATGCTGCTGTTGTGTTCGGGATGCCGTTAATTCCCTTTCCAACCTTTCGGTAAGAAGTTGGGAATCTCGGTGCTTCGTTTCAACAATGGGCAACATTTGCTCCAGGCACCGCATGGACACCATTGCCAGCTCTTGGGGGTTGGACGGCTCGTGCCACCTGTGCGGGTCCAGCGGGTGGTGGTGGTGGTGGCGGCAGATCTGTTGCTGCTGCTGGGGAGATGTTTTGGTAGATGTCTCTTAGGACATTCATGTCCTTTGCACCCGCCCTTGGTAACGAAGCTCTGTAACAATAAGGAGAAAAGCACAGTATTAAGAATAGAGTGTATGTATATATTGCAAGTATAACTTACTGAAAGTGATTGTTGTTCACGGCGTTATTGCCCGGTGGCGGCGGATGAAATTGGTGTAAGCCATCTCCCGCGTGCTGATTTGACTGGGGCGGTGGTGGTGGCGGCGGCGCGGGAATTATGATGTGTTCTAATATCTGTACCGGATATTGATGATGGCTATAAAAACAAATATATATTAGAATAATTTTTTAAAATTTGTTAATTTTTTTTTGTTTTCATGAGCAATTTTTACCTTAACTGCTGCTGCTGATGCTCCTGGTCGTGAGGTGGAGGGATCGTCCTTACTTGTGGGGCATATACGTGGCTCACGATGCCCTCGTATTCTTTCAGAAAGTCGTCCAACTCATTCATGTTGTTGTTGTTGGCTGTTGTAGTGGTGGTTCTATAAAAACAATAAAACAATTGTATGGATGGTGGAAAGCGAGCGCGAGAACGCCTTACCTTTCCTGGTGTCCTTCATCATCTTCGGTAATGAGATTGATGATGACATCTCCGTCCATTAATTTTGATGGTTTATTTTTTTCTAATGCCGTTCTTAACACCGAATGTTCGCCACCGCCACTAGCACCACCGTAAGGCTTCTTGTTCGTTTCACTTTTTTTTTTAATACTCAATTTCGCGCCGCGTTTGTTGTTAAAGGAAGACATCGAGGAAGACATGGTCTTAACGTTCACGTTAATACTTATCCAATATGAAAAATCTCCACCTATATATGGGGAGGGTTTTTGATGGAGTTAGCAAAAGAGTGAAAATCAAGGGCGTTCTCACAGGTTGCTTTCCTGGTAGCTCAACACTGACTCCATTGTCCTCCTCCGTACTTGCATGAGACACTTGCGACACCAAAGCTTCCAAGACCTACTCATGCAGTAACACTGACTCCATTGTTCTTGTCCTTGAAAACGTACTTGCATGAGACACCTGCGACACCAAGGTTCCCAGACCCCACTCATGCAACTGCAGTAACACCGACTCCATTGTTCTCGACCTTGGAAACGTATTTGCATGGTGTTAGCAGAAAGCGCATGGGACACCTGCGACACCCGAAGCTTCCTAGAAAAGCGCCAACAATAGCGAGCACTCATGTAAGAAAGGGAGAATTCATTAATGTCCTTCGGAACGTGAGCGTATAAAAGGCCTCCAATTTCCGCGATTTAATGACTTCGTCTCTGTGCATCTTTGACGTAATATTCCATCAACGACAAGTGTCTCTTTGTGTGTGTAAGTGTGAAGGCCTCACGGATTTCGCGCAACTTTGCCGGCGAGCTATTTTTGTCACGTTTCGAGGAAGAAGAACTCTGGGAAAATAGTTTTAATCGTAGGTAGGTACAATGGAATCTGTTACGTACGAAGCTTTGGAAAGGACATATACAAAGATTTTTTATAATTCCCAGTTGTAACTGTAAATTATACTAATTCTCAGTTGTAACTGTAAATTAGTACTAATTCCCAGTTGTAACTGGGAATTAGCACTAATTCCCAGTTGTAACTGGGAATTAGCACTAATTCCCAGTTGTAACTGTAAATTAGCACTAATTCCCAGTTTTACACTTACAACTGGGAATTATAAAAAATCTTCGACACATTTATAATTCCCAGTTGTAACTGGGAATGAAGAAGAGTAGGTACCAGAGACAGAAGAATTGAATCGTAAATGTTCGTTAATGCATGTATTTTAGATCGATGAAGCAAGAGTGCCACCACTCATGCGTGTATATTAGGTCGCTGTTGTGTAGGCGCTTAATTCCACCACACATAAATAACGATTCTTCTTTTTCTCTCAAGATTCTTTCATTAAATTTGTTAAATACGCCATAACTGACCATTAAGTCATGGGATTTTAAAAATGTTTTTAATGAAAAATAGTAATAGAAAATTAAAACTAATAAAATTTGAAATTTTGTTTACAAACTTTTTCAATCGCAGTGAAACAAAAGTTTGTGGTCACCAAATACAAATTTTAAAATTCCAAATTTTTTTAAACAAAATGGTTGATTTTTTAGTAATTTGCTGCGTTTTTTTATGCCGAAGCGCCTGTTACTAGAAGTATTGTGAATTCAATCTTAAATGGTCAATTTTGTCACTTTTTTTGAGAGGCGTGTCACCTCAAAAAACGCGAAAAACTAAATGTATCGATAACATTTTGCAATCTTTAGTCAATTTATTGTTGTTTATATATTGATATTTTCGCGATTTTGTAAAAACGAACCCCATGAATTTTGTATAAATTTTCAGGAAGGTACGTGTTTTATTTTTGGAGAATTAATAAGGTTAGATGTTCATTTTAAATATTCAATCAATAAAGCATTTATCTAATTTTATAAAAATTCGAACTTAAAAAGCAAACACTATAACCCTGCACATGATAAATGTGTTGTATGAGCTTTAACTTTAACCCTCCGATAAGAGCAGGGTCTCGAGCATGGTATTTGGTATAAAATGGCATTTCTCAGAATTGTTGATAAAAGTAACATTATTATTTCTCCAAAAATAAAACACTCCTGAAATATCGTATCTCATAGAAAAATTTCACATAGTTCATGAGGTATGTTTTCACAAAATCGCGAAAATATCAATAAATTAAGTCTTCCACAATTGTTTGAGATGACGTACCTCTCAAAAAATTGCCACAAAATTAATAAAGTTGTGGTCTAACAAAATACTATGTCATGAAATGTTCAATATTTTGTCGCGATTCTTGCGCAAACCGAAAACCACAATAAAATAACCAAAAATCGCAGTTAGCGATAATTTGAGTTTTCCGCATTTTTTGAGGTGACAAAATTCAAAAGTATTCATTGACAAAATGGGCCATTTAGGATTGAATTCACATTTTAATACAGGTGCTTCAACAAAAGTAAAAAAAACGCAGAAAATAAAAAATCGCGTTTTTCGCATGTTTGGAAATGGCGCCCCTTTCAAAAGATTCTGAAAAAATCATGAAAGTGGTTTTTAAAATAATACACCTTTTTTTTTAAAAAAAAAAATAAAACTGCAGCCATCTTAGTAAAAATGTGGAAGTTTTAAAACTTCAACATTTATTTAGGTTATGTTTCAGATTCTTTCAAGCAACAGTATGCCAGAAAAAAATTAAATCCAAAAAATTCGGTTTTTCGATGGTTTAAAGTGGGAGGGGGATTAGGGTGGTTCTGACAATGCCTAAATTTTTTTCAATAACCCCAATCAAACAAACAATGACAAAGCAAAATCAGTCTTAATGAGTATTTTGATAACTTACACCAATAATTTCAAATTTAAATTTTGTTACTACAGTCATTGAATGCGCAATATTTTTCTCTTCCTATTGATACTATTTATTTTTCTGTAAAATAGATTGGCAAGCAAAAAACCAGCAAAAACGTTTAACTATCCCTATCCCTATGTTCCGACTTTGAATGAACACCTGGTATATCTGTGTAGTAATTACAAATGTTATCCCAATACAAACTTTTGCCTGCTTTCTGCAATAAACAAGATAGGTACAAGTTAAAAAATATTGCCTCTACTTTTAACACTACAATGTTTTGTCAAAAACCTATGGAACGCCGTTTTATTATTTATTCCGACATTTCACAAAGTATCATTTTAAATAACAGTCAATTGTATGTCTCTTCTTTTTACAATTGTTGTTTTTATGTTATTTATTAAATGTGATTGTTTTTAAAATGTTACTTAATAAAAATGTTGCATGAATTAAAATGTTTGTTGATAATTTTAATTGGGCGCTAGTGTACACGTGGCCAAATGGACTAAACGGAAGTTCCTGAAACTCCCGCACAATCTCAGATACGATTTAAAATTATCAACAAACATTTTAATTCATGTAACATTTTAATTCATGTAACATTTTAATTCATGTAACATTTTAATTCAAGTCACATTTTAATTCAAGTAACATTTTAATTTAACAATCACTTTAAATAATTTTTTCTAATGTTAATAGAACGAATTTATATGATTGATGAATTAAAATGTTCGTTGAAAATATTTGTACAACACTTAAATAATTGAATTAATATGATTGTTGAATTAAAATGTTTGTTGAATTAAAATGTTGTTTGATAATTTTAATTCCACATTAAAAATGGATGAATCTTTATGTTTGTTGAACAAAATCGTTTTCTTAATGGAAGTATTTCCTCCAATTCAATTTAATTTTTTGTTATTAATTATTTGTTGAGAATAAAGTCAAATGCATTCCACCCATATAACAATATAATTCATGCAACATTTTTATTAAGTAACATTTTTTAAACAATCATATTTAATGTGTTAGATAAAAAGAACAAACAAAAAATAGTAGAGAATAAGAATGACTGTTATTTAAAATGATACATTGTAAAATGTTGGAATAAATAGTAAAACGGCGTTCCATAAAAACCCATTGACATGCAAGTAAATATTGGTGCAATAAATATACCAGATTCACTTAGAAACTAGGTTCTGAATATCTATGTAAAGAAAGGGCCAACGAACACCAACCAATGAGATTTGGTGAATAATACAAAATGTTTGTTGTATGCGATACCTATGGAAGGTAAACTAAATACATCGCTTGTTCGTTAGCTGAACCCCCACACTTCCTTTGTCAATTTCCGCCATATCTTTTGATGTTAGTAATGGGTTGGAAACAAGAGCTAGGTCCAGCTCTTAAAAAAATATCGATTACTTACCAATTACTTTTTCGGCTAATAAAGTTTTAATGAAAAAGTAATCGGGATTCCAGAGCCCTTTAAAAAGTAATTGAAATGTAATGTAATTTATTTATACATTTCTCGATTTGTGTAGGTATCAAACGTTTAGTTTCGGAACAGATATAAACTATGTTCACTCTGTAAATTAATTTATTAGTTGGTAATACTCATAATAAGTAATTAATTGTAGCTTTACATTTTCTGTAATACGAGTCATAGTCCCAGTTAATCCCCTAAATAAAAAGTAAATTTAAGGTTTTACTCTCAGTTTAGTAGTAATTTTAAAAAGACCGCTCATTGAAATACCTTGTATTATTGTAGTAAGTTGCACTTTACGCTAAAATTTTAGAACTTAAATGGCGGTCAAGTAAGCCCCCTTTATTAAACGCCCTAGAGTTTTTAAAACACTCAGCATGCCTGCAGTCGCTTAAGATGGACTGCTTGTATATTATGTACCTATACTGTGATATGATAATTAATATGACGAGATTGGTTTTTTTTTAAGTATCATACTATGATTGTGAGTCTTTGATATTTTACTCGCTTAAAACAATATAATTTGTACCTGTACGCCTATGTGTAGAATAAAATAGATTTAAACGCGCGCCTATGTTGTGCGTTCTTGCGAGCGCTAGGGCGTTGCGCTTGCGTCCTCATCCTCACAAAAATTGGAGGTATAACCTGAAAAAGGTAGAGTTTCCTGTTTCGTCATTTTTGAAAATGAGATTAATTATTAATTGCGTCGTTGTTTTACTGTTGTAGTGCATTGCGTTTTTGAGTTTTGCGTTGTAGTGTATATATATTTATAATATTTGCGTCGTCGTAATAATATAAGAAAACACAGTGTAGTTGGATTGTACTTATCTAGTTAGGTATCTAACTGATTGCTTAGTTAGTTAGAACATCTTGGTCAGGTAAGGGTTGGATTCGTTTTTTTGTGCACCCTTGTTTATAGGTGGGCCATCTTGGGGACAGTGCATCCCATCCCGGCGATGTAGGTCCCGGCGACGTACACCCCGGCACCAATTTTCCGGCTTCAAGCCATCCCGGCGAACATTACCATACCGGCATCGATCATCCCGACGATTTATACCCGGCGACGACCCATTCCGGCGATGACCCATCCCGGCGACGGCCCATCCCGTTAGATTACACAATTTGTAAACCGTGCAGTAATTAGTTCAAATTCTTCCTGTAGTTATTCTCCAACATGGTAAGGGCGTGTACGATGTCTTCAAGTACAAATGCTACGGAAGCACTCATTCCCTCAGCGTGCTAAAATGACACCGCTTGCGCTTGGGGATGGATGGATCTATAGAAAATTTTTTACAGGATTGAAAAGAAACACTCAAAAGAATTTTTCTTGACCTTAAGTTTATTTTTCATTCCCGATATGACCCAATTTTTGCCATCTTACCTGTAACACCCTTTATGAGAAAAATTACGTTACTTTTTTATTATAGATGGACGAGCTTCAGAACTTAGATTTAGAGCAGTTTCTCAGGACTAGAGGAGTTTCAGAGGAGATAATAAGTAAATTCAAATCGGAAAATGTAATTGAACAATCACATGAAAACAATTGACTTTTAGTTTATAATTTTAGATTGATATTGTGGCTGTGCAGGTAATGCATGAAGATGAATTTAAAGAACTTATTCCGAAGAGCGGGGACAGAGCAGCCCTTAAAGAATTTAGTAGACGAAAATTAGCACCCAGGAAACAAAGTTTAATTGAAAAATTAAAAGATAAAATAGCAAAAGCGAATAATACAAATCTAGCTCAAACTCCAACCTTAAAACATAAAAGAAAAGCAACAAGAGTTGTACAAGTTGGATGGATGAATTTTAATGAGCAGAATAAAAAGTTTCAGCAAGTTAGGCTTAATAAAGGAGGAGGAACTAGAAGTATAAGTGTTGATAGAGATTGCCAGGTGAAAATGATTTTAGAAAAAGCGATTGAGATATTTTTTCCTAATGGAATTTCTCCCAGTGGACCGGTAAATAGTTTTGAGTTCAAACTACTTGATTTTAAACAACATGAAATAGACCACAATATGAGAATTCAAGACATGTTTGAAGTTACTGGTTTAAGTAAATTAAGGTTTTATTTGGCAAGCACCAGTTCCAAAATTTGGTGTAGTTCGACTAACAATAATATACCGTCTTCTTCATTGCCAATAACAGTAGGTAAGCTTAAAATACAAGGAAGTTTTTAGGAAGGAAACTGTTACAAGTTAACACAAACTTTCATTTAACATACTATATGTATTTTTGAGGGCATGTGATTTTGATTTGCCAAACCTAATTAGGTTCCATAACTTGCAACTCATTTTATTGTTTTATTGCTAGTGTTGTAAGTAATTATTGTATCTAGTATTTCTCTAAAAAAATCTTTGTGATAAAGTTTTATTTGTGATTAATGTTGTCACCTAATGTTAATATTGTTTATTTTTAATATTTGCATTGGGGAAGTGAGTGGTATGCCAGTTAATTTGAGCAAATCATAATATTGTGAAATTTCAAAACCTTCACTTTTTCTTGTTTTTATCGGTTTTGTGAACATTGTGTATTTAATGAGTTAATCAAGTTCTATTTCTGAATGTGCTTCATGTTTATTGCATACGTGTTACCTTTGTTATTTTTTAGAATCAGACGACGATGTAGCGGTGTCGTCGCCAACTCATGCTTCTAACACTGAATTTCTAGCTCCAAATGCAGAAGTAAGTTTATATTCTTATTTTATTACCACATGTTTATACATTATGTCGTTCGTTGCTTATTATGCGGGTGATCATCGTTATAAAACAATGCAGTTTTTTTTCATTTTCTTCGTGATAAGAAAAAATCTTAATCCTTATAAATTATTATAATGGACAATTTTCAATTCATTCCTTATAAATTAAGTAAATTAAAAAAATTTTAAAGTCCAAAACCTAGCCAACTGCGGAATTTTAAAGTTTTCAGATAAAGTTGTAGTAGCGATTAAGATACAGCAAAAAAAGTATTAACAAAAGTTGTTGCAAAAGATGAAAATATCTCACATAAGAAATTTCGCTGAAAAATTCAAATTTTTAACTTTTTTACATTTTCTCAACACTTTTTACAAAGTTCACTAAGAGTGCCGTGAAGTAAACAACTGAAGCATAGAAATGTCATTGCATAGAGCAGTGAACTTGAGTGACAGTGTTTGCTGTTCCTAAAAAGGTAGAAATTATTCGATTTGGATGACTTAATCGAAAGTTACGATATGAAAACTTTCTTAATAGGTATTGCTACATTTCTCTTTAATCAAATTTTTGCGCTTCACAAAACGTTGAGTAGTTTTATTGTATGGCAATTCGTAAAAAATTTAAAAAAATAAAAAATTCGAATTTTTCAGAAAAGTTTTGCATGCAGGATTTTTCCTTTTTCCTTTTTTTCCTTTTTCTTAATATCTTTTTTCTCTATATTAATCGCTACTGTTACCTACTTTACCTGAAATCCTACTTTTATCTGATTGCAGTTGGCTACGTCTTTCACTTTAACGATATTTTGTATTCTTAATAAAGATGCATCTTAACGTCCTAAAGCTGCGTTCGGTTTGGTGCTCTGGAGTGGTCTCGGAGCTTGGTTGTCATGATTACAATTATTGGCAATAATGAATACCATGGCAACCAAGCTCTGGGAGCGCTCCAGAGCATAAAACCGAACGCAGCTCTACATAACCAGTAAAAATTTTATACTGATTGCTTTGAAAATACAAAAGTTATTTAGGTGTCTACATCTAAAATGAAACGCACTGTATCATCATGCAAAAAAATTTAATTATGTATTATAAAATTAATCTTTAATATCCCTGCTTTACCAAACAATGAAAGCATGGACTATAAAAATGATAATTAAATTCAATAGCAGATGGATTTGGCAACCGTGTTTACAAGAAGTAAACAAAGTAAGTAAAGAAAGGGTACAATAACTGGTTTACTCCGTCAACTTAGTAATTTTGCAACGCCTTAGGAAAAATATCAAATTTTGACAGATAATTCAAATAGTCTTGTCAAATAACATTTGAGAGAAAGTTTTGACGCATAATTGTCTCTTGGATTTATTGTTTGTTGCTGCTTGAAAATTTTACTCATGATATTTGTTTTGACAAAATCACTTGCTTGTCAACAAATACCATTTGTTAAATGATCAAGCAATGAACATTCATACCAGTTGAAAATTTTGCTAATGAATAATTATACAACCATGAAGGTAATAAGTAGTTAACTACCGTTTTTTTGTTTTAGGATGAATGGATAATGTTTTCTGATCGTTTAAGTCCAGATCTTCCATTAGGTAGATAATAGAAAAATTACATAAGTAAATTGGGAACAAATGTAACATTTTCAGAAAACACACAATCTAGTACAGTATTGCAAAGTCATTGCAGTTTACCTGACACAAATGAGTTGACTGTGTTAGTAAATTCTATTTTGGACAGTTGCGACAAAAATTCTACTTCAACAGCAGATAACGAAGTAGCAAATAGAAATAAATTCATGGAAGTAGATTACGAGGATCCAACAGATATTGAAGAATTGTTAATGAAAATAAATAAACTAATAAACAGTTCTGTTATCAACAAGGTAAATGTTTGTCGTGAACAGGTGTTTCAAGGTTTTGTGCGATCAGTACGAAGACCAAGATTCTCTGAATTTAATAAATTTTCTGTGAAATTTGCTGATGTTGAAGGAATTGCAGAAGGTGCTATAGATGAGGGTGGCCCTACCAGAGAAATGTTTCGAATAGCTTTGCAAGAAGTACAAAATAGTTCAATGTTTACAGGTAGGACACAAAAGCACTTGTGTCTATCTGACAAACATCTGAACAAAAACGAGTATTTTGAGGTTGGAAGGTTGATAAGTTTGTCTCTAGTACATGGTGGACCAGGTCCTAGGTTCTTTTGTGATACATTATTTGGTCTTATTGCTAACATAAAAGTGCAGCCGACTTTAGAGGATGTAATTCCAGAAATTCAAGTTGAACTTGCTCAGCTCAAAGATGCGACAGAGCTGAGTGTCATGCAAGATGTCGTACTATCTAGCAATGTGTTTTCTATTGCTGGCTTTAAGTTTGTAAAGAAAGCCGAGGACAAATTGGACATCATAAATGGTATGTTGTATGTATCTTTTATTTTTTTATTTTTAAGTGATGATTACAACTTTTGCAAAATCTAGGCAATATTATTATTTCTATTATACTTAAAATGCAGTGTGAAACTAAAATCTAACAAGTCAATTTTTAGGAACTTTAAAATTTTATGCCGTCAATGTTATTCATGAAGCGTTGGGACAGCTTCTAAATGGTCTAAAAACTTGCAACATACTAGAACATATTCGCCAATATCCGAACTTGTTCAAAGATATTATGTGCAGTAAACCATCTCTAACTGCAGAGCGTTTAGAAAATCTTCTACTCCCAGAATGGAGTGAAGCTGGATCAAATAGAAGACATATTGAGAATCGTGTCATTACCTACTTTAGAGATTATATCATAGATTGCGAGGGTACGTACTCAACTATATAGTTTTTAATTAAAGCTAATTTAACATATTTTAGATTCAGAATTGATTTCTTTAAACGAAATTTTGGCGTTTGCGACTGGTTTAGATTCCATACCTCCTCTGGGTTTCCAAATCAGCCCCAAAATAATATTTTTACATGACGAACCAGCATGTAAATTTCCAAAAGCAAACACCTGCAGTATAGAATTGAAATTACCAGTATGTCATAATAATTATGATGATTTCAAGTTGGACATGGATTTTGGTATTGGCAATGCAGTGGGTTTTGGTTTTGCATGAGTTTGTAGGGGTAATTAAGTTCTTAAAATAACTATTTTGATTATATTTTCAGTAGTTGTAACATAGTAGTTTACTACCTTACTACTTGTAATATAAAATGTATAACATTTTGAATTATTTTGTATTATTACAAACTATGAGACTACATTTTTTGTTTTATACATGTATTGCTTTGTTTGTCATTTTCTGTTTAATATGTATATGTATTGACAGACACACACACGGTGTTCTATGAATTCTAAGGACCAAATTGTAAAGTGGTGCCAAAAATGTCAACAAATTCACTTATTGGACATCAAAACAAAGCGTTTGGTCTTTTTCCGAAAGAAATTCGTGCATAAATAAAGATTTTCACTCTGAAGAGTCAAATTATTGTGAAGTAGTGCCAAAAATTTCATCAAATTCACTTATTAGACATCGAGACAAAGCGTTTGGTCTTTTTTCCGAAGAAATTGTTGCATAAATAACCTTAAGGGTGAAATTTTGAAGTGGTGCCAAGAATGTCATCAAATTTACTTATTGGACATTGAAACAAAGGGTTCAGTCGTTTTCCCGAAGGAATTAGTGCACAAATAGACTTTAACATCGCTGGTCACAAAAGTAGGGGGGTGGCAAAGCCTTTTTCGACAAGGGGAAACCTGATGCATGTAAGTTGTCACATAGGGAAAGTCCGAAGTCGATAGGTTAGTTAAATGTATTATTTTTACGTTCTCGCTGCATATAAACCCTCGCAACTTTTGACCCGTGCTACAAATCAATAGCAAACTGTCTGAATGTTTAAGGAACCAATTTATTTATTTATTTATATGTTCGGTGGTAAGTGGCCAACAGCCGAAGTCAATTACAGGCTCACATTATTTCATAAATATTGGTGCATTTT